ACTTAAAGGCGCATGGTAAAATTAAGAAGCTACTTACATAGACTTCGACTCGACGTGCGTCCTCGAAGAAAGTCTGACTCGAACTTTGCGGCCGAGAATCGAAGGAGTAATCCGCGGGACACGAGACGTCACAGGATCTTCTCTTATCTGTGCCTCGTCGGCGTTTTAGGGCCAATCTTTATCCTCCTCGCGCTTTCCTCGCCCTTCGATCGCGCCGCGTTTCTTTTATCGCTCGAACGATAGATCCAACGCGACAATCGGACTGCTTGCGCAGCTGCCTCCTCGTAAAACGTGTTAACGACCGTGTCTCTATGCTGTATAATTTTTAAACCGTTGCCAGCATTCTGCGAACTAGATCGCCTTTTATTAGAACACTGACCCAATTCGGGTTTTTTACGAAATCTTCATTAGCTCGCCGAGTTACATCTGTTTTTTATAATTAACAGCGAACGGACGATTTAAAAGTTAGTTTGTAGGTAAAATACCCGGCAAGTCCAATCATCGAAATTCTACCGCGCTGGGTAAACGGGTTTTCCTCTAAACAAAGTGTAGTCGGTAAAACAGTCGTGAGAGCCAGGTCCGTGGCCTTGGCTCTTATAATCTATCGTTAAGCCTACTGGCTTTTAATCGTGCGTTTAATTGCCCGTACGCAGTTACGTATACCGTGAGCGACAGTTAAACGGCCTACGAACACCGCGTTACGATTAGATAACTCTGCTAGAAAGGTGACACACTTGAATCGTTTCATATAATCGTGGCATAATCGGAACGAATATTATCTTCTTATTAAACTCGATGAATCTCGTGTGCTAAAAATAGATATTAAAATTATGCAACGCTGACGTTGATTTCAACGCTTTGTGATTTTACTAACTCGCAACAGCTTGATTTTTCGAGACTTGTACCTGACCGAGTCATTGATCTACCATTAAAATTATGGTCGTTGACGGGAACCAGGTGACAATAAATAATCGATACGACAAACAAATTATTTGATACAACCGTTTAGAGGTGAATGCATTAAGCCTGCGTTAAATCGTCACTAAAGCCAGCCGTAATTTATTATACCAACAGCGACGCCTAATAAAGTACATCGTATCCCGTAATACGTGGCTAATAAATTAAATTCAGTAGAATTTAGTTGCTGAATATCGTGCCAATGAAGTCAGCTATTATTTGAGAAGCTGCATGCGTGCATCTGTTCACTGCGAGAGAACGTAACCTGCTTCATTCTTGAATCTCTCGAACATAGTGAATGATTTATTCCGAATAAAAATGTATAACGTCGCGTCGGTCTGCTGAGATCGTCGGGATTCGAATCTTTCCCGGCAAAGAATCGGAGAATCGAGCCGGTAGAGAGGTGCACGAATTCTCTTGGTTACCTCGGAGATGGCGCTCTAGGTGCCTCCGTTCCGATCGCCAGGCGTCAACCCTCGTTCACCCCCTGACAGCCCGGGAGAGGACCACCGCCCAAATTCAGTACGTTTCCCCCTTCTGAAAATTTCCAGCGAACACGGTGGCAGGCGACGTCGAGAATTCCACGTTTCCTTCGGTTCCAGTAGAACCAGACAGCCTCTTTCTTTCTCCAGACGCGTCTCTCTCCCGTCCACGCATACTAATGCGGACGTGCGTCTTCGCTCGTCTAGCTGGTGTCACGGTCGCAATTTACACCCCGTCGTGAACGGGACAGGTACACCTTTCGCGTGCATTCGCCTCTCGGGCTACGTGCACACACACACACACACACACACACACACACACACGATAACCGCGCATGTTCGCGAATAATTGGACCGGTCCTCTGGCCAGAATCTTTGTTTCGATTATGCAATTTTGAAAACGAGCATCCATTCAGATGGTCGTAAATCTGTTTCATGTAATTTTATTTGTATCACCGAAACGATCTGGACAGCGTCGCGCATAAAATTTCAATAAATAAATCTCTCGGGTTTTGATAATTATGAGAGTGATTTGAATCGCATCCTCTCGTGTCGGATTGAACGAGTTCACGTGTTCCCATAGTACAAAAAGAAGGATACAACGTCCTACGTTTTCCATATCGTTTCATCCATCGAGAACCGTCTTGTTAACAAAGGTTGCCGAAGCATTTCTTCTCGGCCGCGTTGGATACAATCGGGGAAACAGGCGGTGCGTTTTTAAGGGAATCGGTTTCGATGCACAGGGGACTTTGTCAGGGGTGGGATATTCATCTCCATAGATTAGCTTCGGAGGCATGCCTTCCATGTTCTGACGCTATACCTGAGAGACCACGCCTGCTCATCCCTGCTTTTTTCTTCGTTACCCATTCGGGAATTAAGGGTTCTCGCGGACATAATTTCTAATCAATGGGATAAATTAGACGGTTCAAACGAATCCGACGTCAGAAACGTTTTACTAATTTAGTATCTCCTCTCTGCGATTCTTTCCTCGCTAATGAGACTTTTGTTTTTATTTTGTTATACAGGTGCAGGTGGCTGCCTTCCAGGTGAGTACCTCGTTTATAAATCGATCGATTCTTATTAACTGCGTGAAAATTGGTAATTACGGTCTTCTGTTGTTTAAAACATTATATCATTGCATCATTCCGAACAACGATGCGTGGGTTCAAGTTATTGCTTCTTGGCATTTCCAAACAAATAAACGTTTGACCCTTCAACTACGGTTATAAATAGTTAATGAACGCCATTGACCGATGGAACACGTGCTCCAAGTCAATAAGGTCTTATCTGAAATAATGTAGTTTTTATCGATATTACATCTTGGCGCATGAAAGTTCAAAAGCTGTTTAATGCGATCAAAGTAAACGGAATGAGAGCGAATATTGACTGTAACGATCAATGGGTTAATCGACAAGCGCGATCAAGCTGGTATTCGATCAACGAGTTTCGGAAATTTCGAAAACGACTAGACAATTTTCAGAGGAATCTCGCGATCGAGAATTTCAACCCGTCCGTGCACCTTTCCACCCTCGCGGTCCTGTACACTCGTTCGCCTCCGCGTCCCTCGCTCGCGAGCAGTGTGCGTCGATCTCTCCCCTTCCCCCGGGAAGTCGGTTCCTCTTGCCCCAGCTCGCTCGGTGCCACCACTCTGAGAACGCAGGAATGCCGCCAGGTACCCAGACCGGGCGACGACGAGTTCAGTGGTTTCGAAGAGTCGAGCAGACGAAACGCGCCAGTTTCGCGTGCATATTCGTTTCGCGAAAACGACTGAAATTGTTGGCTAGCTATTCGCGGTTTTTCGAAACGGTCCAGCGTCGTCTGGATCAAGAAATACTTCGGACATAGAAGCAACCAGGAAATTATTTGAAAAACCAGAGGACACGCTGTGTAAGATTAATTGAAAAGAGATTAGACACGTTCCCCTGATCAATCGATTGGAATCGATGAAACGTCGAACGAATTTGACACGAGATAGAATTTAAGGAGAAGAAGTAGTATAGAGTACGGACCGTCGCGTCGGACGAAATGGAGAATTACGGATGCGATTAGAAAGATCGATACAAAATTGCGGGATACTCGTTTATGAGCTGGCCAAAAGGAATCGAAGGATGAAAAAACGGATAAACCCGTGCGAGGCTGACGCTGAAAAAACTGTCGGATCCGTGGAAAGCGAGGCGAGCGAGAAAAAAGGAGCGGCGCCGAGAAAGAGAACGAAGGAGAGTCGGAGGAAAGAGAGGAGTAGAGATTAGAGGAGAAAGAGGCGGAGGAGAGAAAGAGCGCGTCGAAGGCTGCACGCTCGGAGCGGAGTGTGCAGAGTGCAGAGTAGAAGGCAACGTGGCGAACAGGACTGCACACCACACACAGGCCTGCGAGAGAGAAGCGTGGCGTAGCGAAGCGAGAGAACGGGCGAGTGGCGTAGTCGTGTCTCCGAAAAGAAACGGAAGAGAAAGAGAGCGTGCCGCGGAGAGCGACGAGGACAGAGGTCGGAGACAGAGAAGATCGTTGCGGGTGGATAAGAGAGAGAAAGAGAGCGAGCCATTCATCTTGGCGCGCCTAGCCGAGCAGCGATTGGGCCGTCGCGGATAAGGGGGCGAGCCGATTGGTCGACTCTGTTTACCAGCTGGTACCCGGAGCGGTGGTCGTGGATCGTTGAAAGAGAGGGGGAGAACAGAACGGAGAGACAAGCGGCGCCATTATTGTAAGGGGTTACATTTAGCTGGCCGTGGGTTGTAGTACGCGGCGTTCGGGATAGGGGGCTATAGTACCTTCATGCATGGCCCATAAAGGATTCGTCGACTATCCGAGAAGTACGCAAGAAACGGCTTCTAACACCTGACAGAGGGGCTACGCTCTCTTCTCTTCTCTTCTCTCTCCTCGTGCCGTCGTCGCCTTCGTTCGCCGTCGCCAGCCCAATTTTCCTTCGCCTGGGACCGCTCCGGCTCCGGTGGTATTCGGTGGATCAGCTGGGTGGGCCCACCGGCCTAAAGAAGGTCCCGCTGGTTTATTGTCGCTACGTCGTCCCCGATGTGCAAGGAATCGTAATTACCGTAAAGGAATCGTTCTCATCTGGTGCGGTGATCCATCCGTAAACGAGCCGAGGAAGAACAGGTGCACCATCGCGAGAGGCCTTCCGGTTCCAACTCGCGTTCCGCTCTGTGATAATGTGTACTGGTTGCGTAAGTGACATGATCGAAGTGGGGGTCGTTTAGGGAGACGAATGAGAAACGAGGGGACGTAGAATCGCAGGTCGGAGGAGAAGAAAGAAGAGCGACGCGCTGCCGCGCGCTTAGTACGACCAGTGAGAAAGGAAATAACGAGGAAAAGAAAAGGAACGGTACGAAGTGGTGCGGTTAATTCGAGTCCCCGGTGAATAATTCATTCGTTTCATCGATTTGCCGTGATACTCGCGAGATAGAAGCAGTGCGCGCAATGATGAAGCAGCATCAGGCCGGAACGCCGGCACGGTGTCGGTGTTGAGGCACTCGACCCGGTTCTCCGTGACCCGGGCGTGTCTCCGGCATCGGAGCCCGCGAGTGATCGGCGCCGGCTACGATAGCCGATATGAGTTCGAAATTCATAATCGATAGTATGCTACCTAAGTACCACCAGCAGTTTCATCATCAACAGTTATTCTCGAGCGCGAATCCCGGCACGATCCAAGCGTGCACAACGAGCCCCGCGACCGCAAGCCTTGAATCGAGCCTATCCGCGGCTGCAGTCGCGGCCGCGGCCGTCAATTACGCCCAGCAACACAATTCCCCAAGCCCGACGGGCTCCAGCCCTCAGCACTCCGGAAGTTCCGCGTCGACCTCGCCGGCGGCGCGCACCACATCCAGCATGTACCCTTACGTATCCGCGGCAGCCGCCCATCATCATCACCAGCAGCAGCAAGCGGTCGCGGCGGCGGCATTCGGTGCCACGTCCAGCATGGTGCCGGGCTTCGGTTCGACCGCTGCTTCGAGCGCCGCGTTGGCCGCGGCCGCGGCCGTCGACGCCGCAACCGCCGGCGACAAATCTTGCCGATACACTGCGAGTTTGACCGGGAACGTCGCCCCGACGTCCGCCGACCCGATGGTCAACTACACCCTCGGTCATCATCACCAGAACGGGGCTACGCCCGGAAGTTTGGTCTCCTCAGCGTCCGCGTCGTCGGCCGTCTCGGCGGCGTCCGCCTCCATGGCCGCCGCCGCTCAATTCTATCATCAAGCGGCTGCAGCGTCGGCCGTCGTCGACCCTTTGACGTCCTGCCAACAAGCCACCACCGGCCAGCCCGGGATCTCGGACATACCCCGATATCCGTGGATGTCCATCACCGGTAAGTCTTTCGATTTCTCTGTCTATTTCGTTTGTCGAGCTTCTATTCTCTCCAATGATTCACAGACTCATTCTGGCTGAATTTCCAAGATGACTTGCATGCATACTGCAAGTAATAATCGTTGTCATGTTATGCGATTCCTTTTTGCTTAATATAAAACAAAATAAATTGACGAGTAAGTGATAATCGCGTGATGAATGTATCAATCATTGTTTTTAAGAAAATTCACTCTCGGCTTGCAAATTTATCTATGAACCTATTGGGATTGAAGATTGAAAACATATTCTATCGAACAGCTTTAAACGCTCCTTGTATTTATCTGCTAACTCTCCCGCGGATACATAAAAATCCGCCGTGTGGTAATTGTTTCGTCTCAGCTTCTGTTTGCTTATGTTTCATGCATAGCACGCGGTACTCCTTTGGCCTTCCGTTGGCGCCGCGTTCAATGCGTAGCCACGGTTAACGTTGAGGCGTTGTACGTAGGCGTTCCGCATTCGAGTCGGCTCGCTGAACGAGCCGAGTGAAATTCTGCTAGCGATTCCAATACTCCAGCGCGATCCAAGTAAAGCAACCGCGTGTACCGCGAGCGTTATGGTTGTTAAACGCTCGAAAAAGATGCGAGCCGGCGATAAGCGAAACTCGCAGTTAGAAACGAATTAAAATCGTCTCTCGAATCGATAATAGAAGCATTAGCGATTGGCGTAGCGCTAAAACCGCCCATGATCCATGATACAGTCATCGGTGCGTATTAATGATCGGCCGACGGATGTAATTCCCGTAATGACTCCACAAAAACGTATCCAACGTTGCGTGAAAGTACGCTCGCGATCATTGTTAAAAAATAGGTAATAACGAATGCATCGTTTTGTTCATAGCTAGCTTTTATCTACCGGTCACGGCGCGCTGAGCGAATTTTCAAGTGGAAACCCGTTTCGCGGTAATAAATTAACGACGCGATAAATTACGCTCGATCCGATCCGGAATTTATGGTCTCTTGTAAATTTGTATCAGTCGAGCTTTATCGCTGACCGACATCGGAAAAAAATTACGCGTACGATGAAGTTTAACCTCCGATTCGAGAGATACAACATGAATCGTTTCCTTGGCGAAGCCGCCGTTACATTCTTCAGTGATTTCGATATCGGAGCAGAAACGCGCGAACGATCTGGAACGGATTAGTCGCGATCAACTCGTGGATCATGGCCGGATAGGAAACTGACCTACGGTACACGGTACAGCGTTTATAGTTATTCTTTCTGCAGGGGGCACCACGGAGTGGTCGTTCGAACATTGTTATGCCTCGAATGCTCCGTAAAATCCATTGAAACCACGCCGCAGCCACCATTACTGACCCGGACTAGAATACAAATATCCCATAAAGCTAATTGCGCTGGTATATTAATAATAAGTCGGCCTTTACTCACGAGCCGAGCTTACTGTTTTACGGTAGGATCGTTTGCTTATCTGAATTATTCTCGGTCGATTAATATTATAACATACTAATTAATTATTCCATTCATCTGTCCTGGAGAAAGTTATTCTATGTTTACTATCGCCGATATTATTATAAACGTGCAGTAATCTCGCGAGATAGGAGTCACTTACTATGTCCATATAATTATCCTCGATTGAATGCCCGTTCATTCTGATCTAAACAACTCCAAAATATAGTTGCCATAACACCTGAACAAGCCTTCCTCTGACGCACGCTCGTTGATTTACATAGAATTTCATTTTACATACTTGGATTCCGTTATAATAACTCAGCAAATCGACTTGATCGTCAATTTGAAAAGAAAAAAACGAAATCTATGGCATCTAGCTGTTCCTCCCTTGTTTCTCGTGACGCATTCCAAGTACGTATACTCTGCACATACGAGGCTGCGTTCAGGAGCCGACGGCATTCTACGGCACGGTCGTGTTCGCAATGAAAAAGCTCTCTCGCGTATTTTTAAAGCATTTTTCGCATTGTTTTTCGGCGTTCATCGTTGAGAGACGCGTGTAAATTCCATCGTCCTCGAGGATTCGTAAACTTTCTCCAAGGTTCGAGCCGAGGATCAACCGAAAATAAACCAATCCGATATAATGGGCTTTCTCGGTACTGCGCGATACTCGAGGCTGACGAAGGAGTCGAACGATTTTCTTGAAAGGTCGCCCCGCGATATCGTCGCAGCCTGTTTCGACGTTATCTCAACGATTTCCACACGGACAATGGCAACGCTCCGGTTGTCACAACAACGGCAATTCGCTCGAATAACCGAAACTTCAATTTCGCTTATACGCTCCAGTACACGCAATTCGCGAATTAACTTAGACCCGTTGACAATTTTTTTGCAAATACAATCGAATTTTTCAATGATATCCAACAGAATAGGTAATGAACCATACGAAACATCATCTGAATTTGCATCACGGTCAAGTCAGGCGAATCAAACGCGTGCCCTATTTTATTCCTTTTTCAATATGAACTCTCTAATTGGCGACAAACGATGCGGAGATACATTTCGCGAAATAGAGGAGTCGGTGCGCGTTTAGATAGCTATAATTCGCTGCTCATTTGGTACCCGATGAAGCTGTAATCGTCGAATATGCAAATTATTTTCCAAAACCCGTTCCGCTATCAACGTCTCGCAATAACGTTTCTCCAACGACGTACTTAGCCACCGAACGTTTTGCCCATTGAGACCAGAAGACGACCAACGTTTGTCGTAAATCATACACCGAGCCAATGCAATTTTACAAATATTTCCTGGCTCGCGCGTTTTAGGGAGAAACTCTTTAGCTCGAGGCTAACGGTTGCTAACGCAAAAACCGTTTGCGTTTCTCTTAATGTCGTCGCGCTATGTTCGAACCGTTGATAAATCATAACGGGACGAATGGCTGCTGACTACACTCGACACGTGCTCCGTCGCAATTTACAACGCAGTCGCAAGTTGTTATTAAACTATTCTTCGAGGATGCACAGGAGTAACCAGCGGCGCGTCCTCCTTTTGCGGAGGCTTATCGGGCAACGTTCGCAAGTGTCTATTCGCGATTCAATAAAGTTCTTATCTGGTTTACGACTGCGTAAGAATAACTTTACGAGCCGAGAAACGAAGGGAATGCCGCGCACTGACGCTGAAACGGTAACAAGAGATTTATTGGGATAAATCCCAACCTAGGAATCAGTATCACTCGCGCTATTCGTTAATTAGCCTCGTTCTTGAATTACCTTTTGCGAAAACTGGACAATTCTAAATAAGATCCAAAGTGGAATGATTTATCCGTTATTCTAATTGCGGATACCGTCAAGTTTGTTAGCAGAGTATTACGAATTAGGCTGATCCAGCTATTCAGTTGAATGCCACGGTTTTAACGTTCTACTCGATCGTATACTCTAATCCACGTTTCTATAGCAGGGCAAAGTTACAGCGAGAGGGCTTCGCGTGTCGAGTTTCCTACTTTCTAATTGCGTACACGTTGGAATAAGTTTCGCTTCTCTTTACTTAGTTCCCTTACGAGCTAAGAGTTGTTATGTACGCGCCGAGAATATAGATAGAAGAACGCTTAATCTTAAATTCAACTGATTGCAGCTGTGAGTACCATAATCTATTGTAGGAAAATTTTGGGTAAGACTGTTCTTACTTACACATCGAGGGTGAATTTTCTAAACGTTAAAAATTTATCATTGGGTATATTTAGCACGGATGTGTCATGAGTTGTCCTTGCAACTATATCTTTTGTGTGACGTCTATGTTTCTTTAAGTATAACGTATAATTCTCTTAGTTAATCGATTGCTAATCGTTCTAATTACTACTGTTCTTGCTTACAGACTGGATGAGCCCCTTCGACAGAGTCGTGTGCGGTGAGTACCACGTCTTGTTTATTAACGTAGTCTTTATTCGCTGAAATACATTGGCTGCTAGTTTTTTTGGTTTCATGAGCCGATGTTGAAGACGAGATTTTTATTCGTTCACAAATTTTCGTGGAGCTGAACCGTGAGTGGAGTCGCGCAGGAACGAATCTGTTCTGAAACGCGTGCACATATGGCTGGCATATTTTTCAGAGCCGGTTTCATTCACAGAACGTAATCGTACGAGGCCCTTTGCCACTTTTTCCAACCGACAGTCACGTTTCCGGCCTCAGAACCCCGTGGTTCTTGTCCGAAACAGAGATTATTATTTTTATCAGACATTGTAAAATATTCTTGGGATATACGTAATCCAGTTCCGTCATATCCGATAAATCGATTTAATTGACCGAACATGAATTTCATTGTTGAAGTTCAAACGATAAAAAAGAAACAGGGTGGGAGAGGGGAGGCCAGGGGTTCGTCGTTAAACTTTTACTCACAGTTTCCCCGGGACAATGCACCCGTGAAATAAGTTGTTTTAAGGTTAATTCGTGCGCCTGTTTCTCTCGGTTTGATCATCCCCCGGGCGATTCCCAACGCAGCCCCGGTCGTCGTATTTTTTTTACAAGATGATGCCGTTCGCGGATTCATTGCTGCGTAAAAAAAAAAAAAGAAAAGTTGTCCTCGGAGAACTGTGTCAGGAAGAAAAGTCAAGGGCGCGCTTTAGGGGTCGTTTACTCGAATCCGCAGTAGCACGTGCTCTCTCCCTATTCATTTATGTTAGTTGCGCATGCAAGAATATGCGCACACACACAAACATACATACGCGTACTCCATTGAACGTATAGCACACCTGTCGTCACCTGTGTGATAATGTTCGCCAGCAAATTATCCCCGTGACTATCTTTTATACGACCTATTACCGGCCCACAATAACGCGGCTCGCGGCGATTAGGCAAAATTAAAACTTGACTGGACTTATCGTGCAACGGTTTGTTTACACCAGGCTGGATCATAATTTCAAATGGAAATTACCGCGCGTGATTAGGAAGTCGCGTCGTACCATGGGAACCGGCCGTGACGGCCCGTGATCGAATCGCAGCGTGAATGAAATTCGTATGAACGGAACGTGATTGCTAAAGATCAAAGGCAACTCCGCGATGAACATGTTCTTTCAATCATTCCTTACGACGAAACAACGTCATTGATAATATCTTTATCAGTTTCTCTTTGTCATTTCATTCATCCACCCGTTCATTCTGTCTGCTCAACGTTCTGTTGACTAGATTTGTTTCATAACAATCGATGTGCTGTATTCGTGTACGAAGTTGAGTTTGACGAAGTTAGATGAGAATCGGAGCAAGCTACAGAGTTACAATCAATGTCTTGTATATTTTTCTTGAAACTGATACGGGTATCGTACGTTCAGTCATCTACAAACGAATCACTTCGTTTTGCAAACACGGATCGTATTAAGCCGGTTTCCGATTGCCGCCGTGATATGTACAGCGTCAGGGAGACGCGACGTTAATGCATTTGGAGCCGAAATACCTGTGAGAATGTCGCGCGAAGACCTCCAGGATGCTTGACTAATTGTGATTGAAGTTATGCCACGCGAATCGACGTTAGCCCGGGAAACGTGCGGTGAATAATGCATCCTGGCGTCTGTGCCATAATGTATTTCTTTCTTCGCCGTCTCGGCCATCGAACAGTCGCCATTTTTGCATCTAGTCCCGTTACGAAGTTTCTATAGGAACGTTCTTAGCAACTCTTAATTGTTGTATAGAAGTCCTCAAACTAATTACCCTGATTGTTCGACGGTCGATTAATTCGAAAGAATTTTTCGACTCGATCAAATTCTTAATATTGCGAGCTGAAATAACGCGAGTCTAAGACTCGTAGGGAATGGCGATATAGGAATAGTACTTTGAATTCAACTCAAGCGGGCGTCATTCTTTTTCCTCCACCGGTTGCAATATCCGTCGCCGTGTCTATGGACATAATCTATCGCCGGTACGTGAACGTACTACTACGTATAGAATTGGGATTGGCGGCCGGCTGGCTTCGATAGAACGTCCACGAGGTTTCCGTCTTAGAATTTCTATTCGGAGCAGAAGTCTCCTCTCTTTCTCTCTCTATTTCTCTCCGTGGGTTTAAAAATATTTTACAAAAGCGAAGTTCATATATTACTGCAGCATCCTTGTAAGGAGGACGTTAGTCGGATAAATTCTACATTTTCAAGGCGTGTTTTGTCGCGCACTGTACAGAACGTCAGAGATTAATGGCCCGATGAGAGAGCTCCACCTACCGTCCATCGAAGCGCGAAGAAATTGCGCATTGCGACAAATTATATCCCGCACGCACGCGTTCGCCGTTGTAAAATTGGGAGAGGAGTCTCACGTTTAAAAATTAACGTAGAGATTTAATCGTTCACCGGTTGACGGTCGAGGTTTCTGCTCCATTCTGGACTGCTACCAAAGTTCTCGGAATTTATTTTGTCAATACGAATATTTTATGCGGCAATGATCTAGGTGCAATGTATACTGTCATATAATTGAGAAAGAGTGTCGTCTCTCAGTCGGCACCGAATGTTTGTGGCGCTTTGACGGCAGGGTTCAGTGGCCAGTAAACGTCTAGTCCCCGGGTTTTGTGTACGCTCTCGGCTATCAAGAGATAATGTATAATTTATAAACAGTTCGATCTCTGCCGGCGCAGCACCGCCCGGCAAACATTCCTTTTGGCTTGCTCAGTACGCTACCGTTCGTCCCTCCACCCTTTGATTAACTCCCTCGCTGCCGTGCTACGTTCTGGGAAACGTTTACCCCACCGTAACGGAGCGCAGCAGCAATTCTACCGCAAGCGTTATTTCCTTCTTTTTTCCACGTTGTCCCAAGACTGCTGCAAAAATATCATAGACTCATCTCGGTATCAAATTGCTGATAAATGGCTCTGCTAATTTTCTCAGTGTCCGATACGATTATCTGACTCTAAAACAAATGACGACGGGATACATGAAACACCGTGTCAATTTCGAAATCGATTACACGGCACAGCGCGTACAACAAGCGACCGTGAAACGCGATAAGGGCGAACAGGATTTTTGTTAGCCACTGCCTTCCGATAATACCTTTAATCTATCTCGGCTCTATAAACGGCGCGCATTTTGATGTTGGTAGCTTGCGGACGTCGACGCTGGATTTTCGGTGTGTACACGGGGGTGGGCTGGCACGAGATAATGTATAATTTATAATCAGACCGTTTCTCTGGCAACAGTGCGCCACTGCGCGGACTGAATCTTCCGCCCCGAAACCCGCCAACCCCTCATTAGCATTCGATGATGGCTGCCGCGTCCTGCAGAGTCCTGTATTATCCCATTTCGCCGTTCCCCCGGCCTCTTCCCTGCCTGCTCGCTCGCTTCTGCCCGACCATTTTCGTCCCTCTCTATTTTACACCTACCTCTTCCATTGGGTTGCGCCAGGTAGTGGTCTTCAAAAATTCAAACGTTTCGGAATTGTCTTAAAAATGATGCAGGGGCGGCTTTATTATCTCTGCCAATTAATATTCAAGTTCATAAAGGTTTGTTGAAATTTTGTTCGCTCGATGAAAACCATTGAGCCGTACAATCGTGAGTAAGAAACTCGGAAAGGACGTCGTTGCGGAAACGACGTCGGGGGGATGAATCTCGGAGGACTCGGAGAAGTTCCTACTTCCGGGAGAAGCCAGGTCAAAATCGGTGTTGTCACCGAGATTATTGAAACTGCAGTTTTATGGGCCTTAAAAGCAGTTTAATTGCCGTTATATAAGTGTTTCGCCGGCGTCAGCTACCGGCCGCCTGCGCCACCCCGAAACCGTTTATTTTACGATCATACGACGGCTTGTACCCCGTTTTGTCGCGTGCCGAACCCATCATACCGGTCAAAATCCTCCAGGCTCGATTCTAAATGTCACCGTAGATATTGTAGTGACAAGTCTCCTTTCCCTCCACGTTCCGCCGGATATTTTCTGCTCGCTCGAGGCAATCGCGACAGACGCCCACGCCTCCGTTTCTCCTTCGATCGCCATCGATCCGCTTCTAATTAACCTCGTTAGTCATCGGCCATTTATTTTTTCAGGCGCGTCTGTTTCTTTATCAAAACAAACTGCGTTACTCGATGATAAGCAAATTGATACCCCGCGTTGCTCGTTAGGCGATTGTTAAATGATATGAGCATCGCGCGGTTTTTTTTTTTTTTTTTATCAACTTAAAACTCGAATGATGAATTCGCTTTTATTCGCATCAGTACTTTATTTCCTTGTTCGCCGGAATCCTCGGTATCGGTCAAGGCACGTATACCCTTTATTATGCAAACGATTGTGTCGCGTGCTACGCTACACGCAGTTACGGATTTGCGAAATATCTGTAGTCGCGTTACGCGATCGAGTGGTATCGCAGCATAATTTACCTACTCCGAAACATCGCTTCCCTCCTCTTGAATTAAATAACGATCCTCGAACAGAGCGCATCGCCGTTTGTAACCAGCAACAGAATATTTCCCCTTAATGGAAATCGAGCGTTTTCACCGGCGTAGAAATTCACAAGGTCACTTCCCTCCAGCCCTTTTTACGGTTTCACCTCTATCCGAAGGATCGGTGTTTTTTTCTTCTCGTAACCCGGCGCAAACTTTCACCGCACCCTTTGTCGAGGAAGAGAGAGTCGCGCTTTTTCCCGTCCCTTGAAGAAGCAGTAAAGTTTTCACCGATCCACGTAGAGCCAAAAAGTCGATGCCTCTTGGCAACGTTCGTAAATCACGGCTGGGTGAAAGTAAAGGCTTCTCTCCCGTATCTGTCTACCAGAATCAATCACCTTCGAGGTCTTTTTTTATGTTTGTTCGTGTTCCCGAAACGGGACGACACATTTAACCCCGAATTACGACCCACGTTAGCGTATCGCTTGCGTGTCCAATAAATAATTTACAATCCGCTATTAACCTTCGTATCTCAATTGTGTTTCGATCTAACATTGTTTTCGATTT